AAGCATTAGATAAAGAAAAAAAACTTAAAATTTTCATTGAGAACCTTCCAGAAATACGACGAAATACACTTGCATTGATAATTATTCATTTAAAACAAATTGCAAAAAAAACTAATTACGATCTGACAGTAGTGAGAAATATTGAAATGAAATTTGGACCAACTTTGATTCAAATCGATTTTGATACAATACCAGGCAAAGATAATTTGAAAAGCTATTATAATCTTTTGTACAAAGTACATATAAATGTTTTTTTAATGACATTTTTGCATAATGGAAATTGTTATTTTTAATTATTATTTATTTTTGCAGATTATTTCGGGATTTTTAGATCTTCCATTCAAGTACTGGAATTCCATTGTCGATTATGAAACCGTTGTAAGTATATAAGAGATTTAAATGCAAAAAATGGTCAATTCCAAAAACTGAGTATAAATTCTTTTTCTTTTTTGAAATTACCTTTTATTTCTTATATTCTTGCACGCGAATTATTGTTTCTTATGTCGAAATATATTTATTTATTTATTTATTGAAAATATACGGGCAAAGCCCATTCGTACGGAGTACTATAAAGATACATTATGTTTATTGTATATATAATTTTTTCAATAAATAAATCATTTCAATTATTATTAATATATATTTTTATTTTTTTATGTAAAAAACAGACTGCCTATAAACCGTTTTTACGAAAAAGAAATGATGTAGAGTCCTCTATGGAGAGTGCTTCAGGTAGTGCGTCTTCAGAACAGATGGTAAAATTATTTATTATTTTTAATGAACATAAAATAATAGTTTGTTAATTTAATAAAAATTAATTAATTAATAACTCTACGTAGGGTGCCTCATGTGATCCCTAATAACACAAGATATCTTGGTATATATTGATAATATCCCGCAGATGTCCTAGGGATGTCCTATGGATATCAAAAGGATCTCTTAAGGATATCCAAAAAAATTGGCGGTTTGGATATCCACAGGATATCTTCTGGATATCTCTATAGACTTTCATAAATGTCCTCCAGATATCCCATAGATATCGTCAGGATATCCCACAGATATCATAAGAATATCCCACAGATATTTTCAGGATATTCTCAGTATATCTTCTGGATGTCAAGAAGATATTCTCAGGATACTGTTTTAAAGTCATTATAAGACTACGAGTGAGAATATTCTGTGAATTAAATTTTATATAAATAAAATTAAACGCAACTTGTTTTTCAAGAACTATTAATATTAATTATACATTAAGTGCATGAGTTTATTTAAAAACTTTGAAAAATGCGTTTCAAATCTTCATTTAAAATAAATTAGAAGCTCATAAGATTTTTACTTTTATTATATTATTATTATTCATTATATTAGCTTAACAATTTTAACCTTTAAATATATATGTTGAGATATGAAATATCCCGTAAATATCCTAAGAATATCCCACGGACATCCTGAGGATATCCCATGGATATCCTGCGATATAATATCCAATAGATATTTTGTGGATGTCTTAGGGATATCCTATGGATGTCCTGTTGATGTCCCATAGACCGGATATCCCAAGATATCCTGGGGACCATTCTAGGTTATCGACCATTGATATGGATATCCTATGGATATCCTAGGGATATCCTTTTGTTATGAGGGATACGTCTTCAGAAAAGATGATAAAAATTAATAAATTATTTTTAACGTGCATGAAATAATAGTTTGTTGGTTTTAATTGAAATTAATTTTCTATTAACTTTTAATATTGTTCACACATAAATATTACGTAGTGAAAAATTATAACTAACAAATCTGTTTTCTTAGATATTCTATTCTAATTACAATGCGTAATTGTTAACCTAACTTTAAAAATATTTATTCGACAGCGCCAAAGAATTTCCTTTCCAGTTCTCTTCTTGCTTTCTTCTCTTTAACATTTATACCCAATTTTTAAATTTATATCTTATTCTAATCATTTACTCAATCTTCTCTTCCCTTTCATTTTCCTCTATTCTATACAGTATGGGAAAAATGCTTTTTTTAATAATTTTATTTTTCCTCTATTTTTTTTTACAAAATAAGCTTCTACTCCCTTTTGAATTTATTAAAATTGATCAATTCTATCAAGCGTTTTATGATTTTGAAACAAAAAAGTATTTTTGCCTCTTGTGAGTCACCAGTTTCAATTTTCATTCATACTGAATTAATCAATCTTCATTTTTTTTCTGTTCACAATCTTTTTTATTTTTAATATGGTTGATATTTAATGTTTTGTATACAATTTATTATATTTGTAATTTAAATTTCTTCTTTTTTAGGCAATGAAAGAGAGAAGAAGGGGTAGAAAATTTTAATTTTGAAGATATTTCTGCGATGAATTAATCAATGTAATATATCCAAAAATAAATGACAAGAAAATAAAAGATTTAACAAGTGATATTTCGTGTATGATTTTTGCACAGATAGAGCTATTTTACAAATTTTTTATTTAATTTTTTTATGAATTTTTAATAACATTGGAAAAAAGTGTTGAAACTGGATAGATTACTATTTGGAAGTAAAACACGTATAAGATGAAAGATAAGAAATTGTAACAGATAAATTGAAGACTTTATTGAACAATTGACAAACATAGAATTGACTTTAATGTAGATTCTTTACTGAATTCTTTAAGTGAGCCGTACAAAGTTTAAGGGGGGGGGGTACAGTTAATTCGGTGAAAATAATGCATACTTTTAAGAATTTTTTTTGGCGATACAAAGAAAGTTAATATATTTATTAAATTTTTATATAATAGTACAACATTTGAACAGTAATTCACCAAATTTTCATTGCAAAATATTGCGAATTGAGCGAGTAAGAGCAAATCTCCTCAGGCGCTTGCAAAAAAGTTATTTTACGGTGTACACTCTAACTCGCAACAGAATCATCTAAAACAAAAAAACCAAGATGCATTAGTCAAAGGAGATGTTTCTCGAGGTAACGCTGGGAGGATTTTTTGTTTTTTAAAAAATTACTCATTTTACAAAAACAAATTCGTCGATTTTTTATAGAAAAAATCGGTTTTTTGGCTTTTATGTGTTACGAAAAATCGAAAAATGAAAAAAAAAAAATCCTCCCAGCGTTACCTCGAGAAACATCTCCTTTGACTAATGCATCTTGGTTCTTTTGTTTTAGATGATTCTGTTGCGAGTTAGAGTGTACACCGTAAAATAACTTTTTTTGCAAGCGCCTGAGGAGATTTGCTCTTACTCGCTCAATTCGCAATATTTTGCAATAAAAATTTGGTGAAATACTGTTCAAATGTTGTACTATTATATAAAAATTTAATAAACATATTAACTTTCTTTGTATCGCCAAAAAAAATTCTTAAAAGTATGCATTATTTTCACTGAATTAACTATACCCCCCCCCCTTAATGCTATCCGCAGTACTATAATAGCACGACTTACAAAATCCTTCAACCTGGAATTGCACTCAGGTACCTCCAGTACCTGGTTTTCCCTTTCCACCTGAATTTTACTTAAAACCTTAAATATTTATAAATATCGTTGTATCTCCAACAAAAAGTATAAAGAATTTAATTGATTATCATAAAACAAAGTTAACAATAGTTTTTTATAATTTTATAAAATTAAAGAAGACAAGTTTTTGTTTATTTATTTCGAAAATAAAAAAATCGAATATTTGAATCAAATAAATTTTTTTTCAGTGTTTGCACTATTGTGTGCCTGTAAGATACCAAAAAAAATATCAGAAACTGGTTCCTCAAATCTAATCAAATCTTACATAAATTTGTAGTTAATTAATTGTTTTTCAAATTCAAATTTAAATTATAAAAATCGTTTAAAGCTCAGAAGATATAATAATAATAATACAACAAAAAAGATTATTAATGGTGAATTATTGTTTTTTAATTGGTAAAATAGATTATGGAAAATCATTTTAACGGACATTAGAAAATTTTTATATAACGAGAATGCATGATTTTTTCAGAGATAACTAGTAAATTAATTTTTCACTATTTGTATCAAAATTATTACATTTAATTGTGTAATATGTATTAAGATAAGGGAGAGTGAACCGCAATGAATTAATGAAGGATTTTAAAGTTTTTTTTCTTCTTTTTTGTTTTATATAAAAATAGAAAACTGATAAGAACTTCAAATATTAATAATGAACATAAATTTATTTATTTAAAAGTTACACGTGTACGAATGAAATGAACAACTAAAAGAAAAAGAAAAATATCACTGTATTGAAAATAAATTATAAAACTTTTAAATTGTATAAAAAATAGATAATTACAAGTTTAATAAAATTTTTTTGAAATTTTGCCTTCAAAATTTCAATCGTTGCATGGCAAATGGTAGAAATTATTCTGCCATTCGGCCCTCACAACAAAAGGATATTCAGGATATCCTTGGGACGTCCTGGGGATATCGATTTGTTTTCGGCGGTTTGGATATCCCTGGGATATCTTAGAGATGTCCATGGATATCCAGAGGATATCTTAGGGATATCCGAATCGCCAAAAGCAAATGGATATCCCCAGGACGTCCCAGGGATATCCTGAATATCCTTGTGTTGTGAGGGGGATTTCGAATTTTTGTAAATATTGAAAAATTGTAATTAATTTAAAACTAACTGATTACTTTAATTACCTAATCAATTAATTATATTAACTAATTACTTTAAATACCTAACCAATTAATTATATTAATTAATTACTTATCTAGTAAATCAATTAATTAATTACTAAATTATTCGCTAATTAATTAATTTAATGTTATATTCTGTTTCCCCAACATATTCTTTACATATCAAGTGATAACTTTGAAAATTATTTAATTAATTAATTATTTTACACAATTAATAAAAATTGAAAATTTACAAAAAAATTGAGTATTCAATGAATTTTTTATAAGTCTTATCATATAATATTTGCAGCAGTTGTGAAATTCTATATGAATAGGTGTGTAATGTTAGTAATTTATTAATATTTTATTATATATGTTTACCTAAAACATTTACTTGAAATAATTTGGGTTTAAAAGCAGAGAATTTGCTATAATAATTTTAATGTAGTTCCGTCTGGAAAAGACAATTTCAATTTAACAGGTAATATAAAAAAGAATAATTTTTTTTTTTAAACAATTATTTATATTTTCAATGTACTTTTATAAAAGTATAATTTATTATTAATTTATATATATATATATATATTTTAATGTTAAATTAGACATTTTTATATTACTTACTTAATCATTCGCTTTTTGTATTTAAAAAAGAAATAAAAATTTATTTTAAGTATTAATATTTATTTTCTATAAACAAATTTTCAGTCTCGACAAAAATGAAATTGGTTAAAGATGAATAATTATTTGAAAATCTATTTACTTTTTATACTCGTTCAATTGTCTTATCAAATTAAGAAGAAATTGCCCAACAATGCAAGACCAAGTCACTATGAACTGAAGTTTTTGCCACCATTAAATTCTCAGATGAATTCATTTATTGGTGAATCGAAAATATTTCTACAAGTTTTTGAAAAAACTGTAAATTTGACATTACATTCATTCAACTTGGGCCTTAATGAAAAAAGTACAAAGCTCACACGCAATGGTGAAGACCTAAAGCCTCAAAATCATTTTTTTGATAAAGAATCTCAATTTTTGATACTTAATTTTAAAAATGAAATCGAGCCGGGAAATTATATTCTTTATTTAAAATTCACTGGCGAATTAGCTGATGAGGTGGTAGATTCAAGATATTTTGGATTTTTTCGTCCAAATTATAAGAATAAGTAGGTGAAAAGCAGTACCTGATTAACCGCCATTTTTAATTAATTTAATTTTTTTTTGTTATGTAACTATTCCGCATTTCACTTTTTACATTCCGTATTCGACTTTTCATATTCCGAATTCCCCTTGCATATTTCGCATTCCGTTTTTGGATACGGAATGTAATTAGTGGAATTCGGAATGTGTATAATGCAGAATATGAATAGTGGAGTGCTGAATGCGAAAAGTGAAATGCGAAAATGTTGAAAAAAATGCAAATCTTGTAGGACAGAATTAAATTTTTTATTAAATCTTTCAGCATTGTGATGACAACTCACTTTAATACACTTCGTGCACGTCAAACTTTTCCATGTTGGGACGAGCCAGAGATAAAGGCTACTTTTACCATTTGGGTGAAACGTTCATTAAAAAACAATGCTTATTCAAATATGCCACTTGAAAGAATGGTCGTCGAGATAAATAGCAATGGATTCACTTGGGTAGTTTTTAAAAAATCACCTCTAATGTCCGCGAATAAGGTGTGCATTATAATCGCCGATTTGCAACCTGAAGAACATAATGAAGAAAACACATTATCAGTGTTATTTACTGAGGATTCGAATATTATGTCAAATCTCACACTTCAGCATGGAGAGCAAATAATATCTCTATTTGAAAAACATATTGGAATAAAATATGATATGCAAAAAATGCAGCTATTCGAAATTCTCGATAAAAATGCGAAACCAATGGGAACTTGTGGTCTAATCATGACAAGGTATTTAGAAAAAGAATGAGACGCAAATAAATAAATCTCATCTAACATAATTCTATAGAATCTCATTTTGTACAATTATTAAATTGTACAAATTTCTTCTTTCTTAGTGAACATACTGTACCTACTGGGGAAAATATGGAGAATGATAAAGAAGTGAAACCATTTCTATATTTGATATATGAATTAGCACGTCAATGGTTTGGATGTTTAATTTCTGCAGCAACGCCATCGGACTCTTGGATCACTGAGGGACTTACTTTCTACATAAGTCACTTTATTCTTGGCAAAGTATTTATAAAAAAAAAAATATTACTGATCCAGAATAGCGTCGTTTTTTAAAATACTAAATTTTAATTTGCCTCTTACACGACGCTTGTCTGGATTTTAATAATTTTAGAGCCACAACAAAATTTTTTTTAGCTTCAGGTCAAACTATGTTTATTATATGTTTTTGTAGTTTCTAAAGCCAAATACGAGGCCTATTTATTCCTATCACATCACGATTCTGCCATAATATCAAAAAACCCATTTAACCATTTCGTTCAGAAGATAATTTGAGAACTTCAAAAAAGATAAGTGAAATTGTTCTTACAGTTTTTCGGGTCGCTGATGACGAATTTGAGGTCAGATTTTTCAAATTTTTAAAATTCAAAATATCGGATACAACATGGCGGACAATTTTTTTAAAAGTGAATAAATCCGCTCGAAAATGGCTACACTGGGGTTTTTGGGGTCGCTGATGACGAATCCGGTGTTAGTTTTTGAAAATTCAAAATGGCGGATCCAATATGGCGGACGACTTTTGGAAAATCCAATGCAATTCGCTTGCAACTCTTTACTTGGGGGTTTTTGGGGTCGCTGATTACGAATCCGGTGTTCGTTTCAAAAATTCAAAATGGCGGATCCAATATGGCGGACGACTTTTGGAAAATCTAATGCAATTCGCTTCCAACTGGTTACTCGGGGGTTTTCGGGGTCGCTGATTACGAATCCGGTGTTAGTTTTCAAAAATTCAAAATGGCGGATATAATATGGCGGACGACTTTTGGAAAATCAATTGCAATTCGCCTGAAACTCGTTACTCGGGGGTTTTTGGGGTCGCTGATTACGAATCCGGTGTTAGTTTTCAAAAATTCAAAATGGCGGATCCAATATGTGGGACCAATTTTTGAAATTGTTAGATTCGCCTGAAATTTGTTACTCGGAGGCTTTCGGGGTCGGTGATTACGAATCTGAAGGCAGATTTTTAAAATTTTCATAAATCAAAATGGCGGATTCAACATGGCGGATAAAATTTAAAAAATTGACCCAATTCTTTTCAAACTCGCTTCTCGAGGGTTTTTGGGTTTTTTTTTTAAATTCGTCCACCATATTGGATCCATCTTTGAATTTTTAGAAATTTCAAAAATCTGACTCCAGATTCATAATTAGTAACACCAAAAACCCTTGAGAAGCAAATTTAAAACGAATTGGGTCAAATTTTTTAAATTTTTTATGCCATGTTGACCCCGAAAACCCCCGAGTAAAAAATTTCAGGCGAATCTGAACGATTTTAAAAATTGGTCATTTTTAATATTTATTTATATATTTTTTTAATCAATAGAAATTTTTAGACATCATCTGGTCTAGAAATTTTGAAAGCACTATTCCACTTGAAGAAAATGCCTCAAAGCAGACTTAGAAATATTAATTTTGTTCAGAGTTATTGAGGTTTTCGTAGGTGGGACATATATGTCCCATGGGAACGAAAGGGTTAAGCAATTGAACGCACTTAACCTTGAGAATAAAGTTGTAATCTAAAATCTTAAGCTATTTACGTCGGAAATTTAACATGATAGGTGTATTTTTCAGATGATTGAAAATGCTGTAATTCTATAGGCACATGATAAATTTCTATCCACGTATACAAAGATGTTTAAATGTCCGCGCATAATAAAGGTCAGTCACAGAGGTTGGCTGAATATTGGATTTGAATTTCTGTTAAATATTAAAATTAAAGATTCTTGGCATATTGTGAGGGGATATTTAAGAAAATTAAAAATTCAAGATTTGTTAAATGTAATCGTTTAATATTCTGGAAATTTAGAAGGAGCATAAATACGGAAAAATAAAAAGAAAGCAAATGAATTTAAAAACCCAATGAGAAAAATTAATAATTAAATTAAAATAAAAAAATGGTTATCAAAGTATTAGTGAAACCATTTCTTCCAAAAAATAATTTGTCTCAAATCCAATAAATAGGAGAGACATCGGGCAGAAAAAAAAATTTCGACAAGAAAAAAATTTTCGATCACTGCTTATATACCAATCTAATAACACCTCAACTGCGAGAAACAGTTATGATGTTCGTCCTCCCTGTGGCGTTGAGCGAACTAAAGTCCAGACCTGAGCTGTCAGCACAGCGTGGGAACATTTGAAAAATTTGATTTTATTAGATATTTTATTTTAAATATGACAAATAATTAATGTCATAAATAATTATTAATAACATAATGTCATACTTAATGATTCGTTAATTAATTATTTTTAACGAAAATTTGCCAAAAAAAAAAATTTGTCGTCAAAAAAAATATTACTATTAAAAAATAATTTTTTTGTTAAATATTCGTAGTAAAAAAAAAATTTTCATGACAATTATTTGTGGCCTAAAAAAATATCACGATGAGAATATATATAACAAAAAAACTTACTCGTAGCACAAAAAAAATTTCACTCTAAGAACATAATTTTTTTAAATTTTCTTTTTAAAAAATCTATTGGTAGTTCAAAAAGAATATCACGATAAGAAAATAATTTTTTGTCAAAATTTCTCTGTCAATAAATTCATTAACTAAGTAACGTAATTACTGGTTACATTATTTTTTTACTACGAAAATTTAACAAAAAAATATTTGTAGCACAAAAATAATATCAAGATGAGAAATTTAATCATTTTTAAATTTTCTCTGTAAAAAAATATTTTGTGGCCTAAAAAAATTATCACAATAAGAAAATAACTTTTTTGTCAAATTTTTTCTCCAAAAAAATTAATTAACTAAATACCTTTTAATAATTAGTTGATTTTTTTTACTACGCTGTGCTGACAGCTCAGGTCTGGACTTTAGTTCGCTCAACGCCACAGGGAGGACGAACATCATAACTGTTTCTCGCAGTTGAGGTGTTATTAGATTGGTATATAAGCAGTGATCGAAAATTTTTTTCTTGTCGAAATTTTTTTTTCTGCCCGATGTCTCTCCTATTTATTGGATTTGAGACAAATTATTTTTTGGAAGAAATGGTTTCACTAATACTTTGATAACCATTTTTTTATTTTAATTTAATTATTAATTTTTCTCATTGGGTTTTTAAATTCATTTGCTTTCTTTTTATTTTTCCGTATTTATGCTCCTTCTAAATTTCCAGAATATTAAACGATTACATTTAACAAATCTTGAATTTTTAATTTTCTTAAATATCCCCTCACAATATGCCAAGAATCTTTAATTTTAATATTTAACAGAAATTCAAATCCAATATTCAGCCAATCTCTGTGTCTGACCTTTATTATGCGCGGACATTTAAACTTCAACTCAAGCTCGTTTGGACCTCGTGACTCAAGTTCCCGAACCTCGTCAAGCGAGGTTCAGTCAAGGTTCAAAGTAGTTTCGGTGCTGTCCGGGTATCTAATGTCCAATACTACAGCATTGTTGTCACTGAATCTCGACGCTGGAGATCCAACTTTCTTACTCTCGGCAGCACTGGCACTGCGGTATTCCTCCTTTATATTTTTTAAGGTTATGGCGATATGCTGATACAGTGCGTTTAAATTATCCTTAGACTTAAAATTAGAGACAGTAAAAACATATAATAAAAATTCAAATGTTTCCTAATCGTCTAAGTTTGTTTCTTTTGATAAAAGTAAAATTTGGACTCTAATCTCTAGTAAAAAATTTTTTTAAAAAATTTTTTGTTCACCCACAAAAGATGAAGAAGTTTTCAAATTACGTGGAATACATAAGGTATCGATCTTCAATTTATGCTTTGTACATGGACGTAAATATATACAATGAACCTACTGCTCAAGAAGGTAGTCTTGTCAATTATAATATCAAAGGTAAGTTTTATTTTTATTAATATATGATTACATAAAAAATAATATTTTACGTAAAGAAATTTATTTAATTTTTGGGCGCAAAAACAATGAATTGACTAAAAACTTGTTACTATGATAGAAATACGAATTTTTTAAATAATTTTTCAATTTTTGTCTCATATGATCTATAATTGAATAATGTTAAATAATATTGTATGATGGGTCATAATTTTTATTAATTACATTTATTTCTTAGAAAAAATGTAAAAAAAAGTCATTTGTCCTTTTCTAGAGAATAAAAAAATTTATTTTTAGTACTAATTATTATTATTATTATCTTTAGTAATGCAAATTTTTATCAATTATAGCTGAAGCAATAATGAATATGATAAGTGGTATATTGACGGAAGATGTTTTTTTTACTGTTATTAAAACACTTTTGGAATCTTAGTGAGTGAAAAAAATTTCTTAGAGAACTTATTTATATTTTTAGCTTAGAAATAAAAGAAAATTCTTTTCATTTAATTCCTTATATAGTAAATACAAAACAATAACAACTAACAATTTTTGGAATATCATTCATAAAGAAATGAGAAATACAAAATTGGCGAAAAATAATTTTAATATCAGAACGTATGTGGAGCCTTATATAGTAAAACAAGGATATCCCACTATTTTTGTCAAAAGAGATTATGGATGTAATACTATAAGAATGTCACAAAGAATTATAATTGAATCAATATATTCTATTTATCAAAAATGGTGGATACCAATAAGTATTGCACAAAGTTCAACTATTAATTTTGGAATGACATCTCTTATCAATTGGATGAATCCTCACGATGAAAAATTAATAATTGATGGTCTTAATTATGATGACTGGTGGTATATCGTCAATGTAAAAAGCATTGGTAATTATATTTTAAAATTAAAATTATCATTTATGTCATAGAAGTGGATTAGCGTCGTTCTTTTCCCACTCTTACTCTTTGTATCGACGTGCGCACAATAAATGATGCGCAATAACCAAAACGCTATCCCCACTCTTTCTATTCTATACGCTCAATTATTTTTTAATTTGATCATTTTTAGAATAAGACGCTAGTCCAGAATCATCAATATTATTATTATTTTATTATATATAAAATTTTTAATGGAAATTTTTCTATTTTTTTATTTACTTTATTTTATTTATTTGTTTGTTTAAAATTTCTATTAGGTTTGTATCGAGTGAATTATGACGAACGTAATTGGAAAAGACTAGTGGACTATTTAAATTCGGAGAAATTTGAAAATATACATGTTTTAAATCGAATGAAAATTGTTGACGATGCTTTGTACTTTAATAAGACAAAAGAAATATCGCCAAACGTTATCAGGGGCATAGAACAATATATATATTCGAAAAAAGATATTGTAGCCGAAATGATAAGTCGTGATTATTTAGAGTTACTAGATTAATATATTTTTTTTCTGCTTCTTTTCAATAACTAATTCTTATATATATAATTACATACTTATCATTAATAATTTATAAATAATAATAATAAGAGTAAAATTTATATACAATTTTATTTTATATGACGATTTAATGCTATAATAAATAAACGAAAAATTACATTGAACAAAAATAAATAACTATAAATACATGATTTTATTATTTATCTTACTGCTAATTGAAACGTAACACTGATTTTAATTTAACACAGAATTTACCAAGTAATATTAAAAAAAAAAAATTAATTAAATTTCACTAGATACCAAAAACCATTGGAAAATATATAATAATTTTTATTATTATATTGTTCAGCTGGTATTAATGAATAATTAGATATCTTATTCACAACTCTATTTACCTTAATATTGGAATCAATTTTATTGTATGGTGGATATAAAACTTTATCGGACAATCCACTTTCTTTGATAGCTTCTTTAATAAATTTCTTGTAACTATAAACCGAAGTATAAATATCTGGATAACCAACACCACATGAATAACCAAATGACACAATTCCTACAATTTCATCACCCACAGCCAATGGACCACCACTGTCACCCTAAATATTTAATATTAATAATAAATTAATTAGTAATATTAATATATTTATTGAAAAAAAAAACCTTAACTTTGTAATTTTGAATTTTTCAAAAATGTAGTTACATATAAATAAAAATGGTTTTCTCTTTTCCATAATAAATTTAATTTTTTTTTTTTTTTAAGAATTTTTTAATGTAGTTGTGGAACATAATAATTTACTAACCTGACAGGTGCCCTTTGTATTAGATGCTTTTGCACATACTTGTGAATTGTATAGTTGTTTTCCAAGATAATTCTGACACCAGGTTGCATTAATCACATTTGTTGGTAACTTTGACAAATACGGATTAGCTTTATTTGCACCAGGATAAATATCTCCCCAACCGGAGACAATACCTTCCATTCCGCCGTAATCACTTCTACTTGCCAATTTTATAATATGATGAGCTTTAGTCATTACAATTGGTGATGATAACTGAAAAAAATTTTTATTCAAAATTAACTCTAAAAATTACAAACACAAAATTTTACCAAATACACTTACAGTGATAACAGCAATATCATTGGCAAACATATATTTAGCAGTATTTAAAAATGAAGGGTGTATCTTAACGCTTTTAACATAACTCGAAGTACCACCAAAAAATACATTCGTCGTTCCACTAACAACTACAAGTTGTTGATATAAATGCATTTTATCAATTAAACAGTGACCTGCAGTTAATATATGTGTCGTGGAAATTATAGATCCCCCACAAAAATGTTGCCCATATAATCTTATTGATACTTGATAGGGAAATTCATCTTTTAAAGAAAATTCACCGCCAATAATTTTTTCAGGTGGTGCTCCTAAAACTCCTATTTCAAACAATAAGATAAAATATTAATCTATATGTCAAATAGAAAATTAAACTGCAATTAAATTTTTTTTTAATTTCAAAAAAAAACTTAATAATTATTTTGGCTTAAATTCAATTGTCATAATTTTAATATGGTTTAATTTTTACTTGTCCTAATTTGTATTGGATCTAATTCTTATATTAGTCATAATTTTTATTTAATTTAATTTATATTTTGTAAAATATTTTATTAACATAATTTTCATATTTAGCCTAATAAATTATTTAACCTAAATTTTATCTGCGCACTTATTTTCATGTGTAATTAAAACTTTATTTGACCAAATTATTATTTGGACAAATATGTGTGGAAATTTTTGTTACTTGGACTAATATTTATTTAACCTAATTCGTATTAAACGTAACATTTATTTAATTATAACTTTATTTTTATGTAACCAAAACTTTATTTGATACAATTCTGATTTGTCATCAATTTTATTTCACCTAATTTTTGTGTAACATAATTTATATTTACTCTAATTCTTTTTTGATCAAATCTACATATTCAATATAATTTTTAATTATTCTAAAAATTTTTATGTCGCATAATTCATATGTAAACTAAAGTATATTTGATTTAATTTTAATTCTTATGCTTTGCTATCATGAACTACTGTCAAATGGATATCAGGCCATACATGATTAATGTTAAATAAAGATTAGGCCAAATAAAAATTATTTTAAATAAAGATTTAATTGAATAAGAATATTGGGCTAAATAAATATTAGGTCACTTATGAATTAGGACAGATTAAGTTAGACCAAATACGAATTAGACTTAATAAATATTGTGTTAAATATGAGTGAAGCTGAATAAATATTAGGCCAAGTAAGAATTAGGTTAAATACAAATTAGAACAAATAATAAATAATTTATATGGAGATTTTTTAAGATAAAGTTTATGTCAAATATAAATTAGATTAATTAAAGATTAAAGGTTACATAAGTATTGAGTATGAAAAACATTGAACAAAATAAGAATTAGGTAAAATAAAAATTAGAAAAAATAATAATTAGTCATATTGAAATTGTGATTGAGGAAAAAATTTATTTCCTCTTTAGAAATTTATTTATTTACATACCAATGAGAAGAGTATATATGTAGAAAAAAATAACACAAATACTAGAGATCTCCATTTTTAGTTCAGCTTTGTAAAATTAAAATTGAAATTGTAATGCCATGAATTTTTGACTTCATATATATATATATATATATATATATACACGTATGTATATCAGAATGAAATATTTACATAAATATATTGGAATATCGTTACATTATTCACCGTAATAATGGAAAGATAACAAATTTATTAAAATGGTTATGAAATACAAACTTTTAAATATTTTATAAAATAATAATCTTGACATAATTATTTTATTTTTTTGACCCTAATACACAACTGCATGTAATTTATACATTGTCAAATTATTGAATTAATGATAAGCATCTAAATTTAATAGGCAAAAGAAATTTTTTTTTTTTTTTTTTGAAATTATAATTCGGTGAACTAGAATATTTAGATGAATGGATTTGAGGTCACATAAAAATTCTAAATATTAATAATTGGATCAAGTAGTAATGAGTTTATTTACCTAAATAATTGTGACTTTTTTAAAAAAATATTTACATTCTTCAGTTCTATGACTTAATTTCTATGATAATAGAATATATAATAAAAAACTTAATATTTACATTACCTATATATGAAGAATTTTAACATTGTAGATAAATTTACTTATACAATATAGATCACAATTTCTCAAACGAATCATTTAAAAATTAACAAATCTTTTTAATTGTTTATTTATAAAATAGTAATAAAAAATTGTTCTATAAACTCTATTCTATATTATATATTTATTTGGTTTAAAATAATCTTTTTATTAAAAAAATTTTCATTCTTTAATAAAGTCTTTATTTATTTTTTTGAATTACTTTAAATATTAATAAACATTAATTTTTTATTAAATTAATTAATTAATATTTGTTGTGTATAATCTCAGAAAGAGTACAAAAATTTAGAAAAAAACCAAATAAGTTATTTAAAAAATTAAAATTGTTTTACAAATATTTTTCTATGGTAAATATAAAAAATTGGTAAGCTGTAAAATTAATACAAACAAAACTAAACAATAAATTTAAAATATAAATTTATAATCATTTGTCGTTTCTTTTTTAATAAAGTCTCTGAAAGCGTAAACCTTTGTAAATAAACTTGGAGAATGACCACAATTGAGATAAGATGATGCAATTCCCACAATTTCACCATTAATAACCAATGGCCCACCGCTGTCACCCTAAAAATCAAAAATGAATTTAACTTTTTAAAATAAAATATATTTATTTATTATTTGAATTTTGCAGAATTAGTATTTATTTTTTATGGTCTTATAACTTTGAGAATTTTCCACAAAGTTTTTTTTTAATTCAATTATTTTCTTATAATACAATTTTCATTTAACAGAATTTATACCTAGAAAAATTTTTATAAAAAAGAATTTTTATTTATCAGAATTGTTCTTTTGTAGAATATATATATATCCAAATATTCACTCAAAAGTATTTTTATTAACTGAATTTTTATATAACAAAATTCTTATATATTTAAAAAAAAACTTTTATTCAACAAAATTTCTATTCGATCTAAATTTTTGTTTAATAGAATTGTCATTTAACAGAAATTCTACTTAGCTAAATTTTTAAGTCATAGAGAATTTCTATTTCACAGTTACTCCATTTGACCGATGTTTCATTTATTCGAATTTTTATTCGATAGAATTGTTAAACCGTCAAATATTTGTTTTGAAACCAACCAATCAAAAATTATTAAGAAGAAACACCGATTGTTAGCCAAAACTCCGCGACATTTCAAAAATATGCAACTTCTTAAATTCTTTAAGACATGTTCTTATAGTTTTTTAGGTCGCTGTTTCCAAATTTGAAGAGAGATTTTCAAAACACAAAATGACGGATCCAATATAGCGACCAAACATTTAAAAATTGACTAGATTCACTTGAAACTTGTTACTCGAGGATTTTTAAGGTCGTTAATTGCAAATTTGATGTCAGATTTTCAAAAAAAAAAAATTGGTTAATTTGAAAAATTTGATTATTGATATTAAAAATTTATAGATTTTTTTTTAATTTTTGATAAATAAAAGTAGATGATTCGTTAATTTTTTTTTGGAGAATAATGTTGGATTAAAGTATAAAAAATTTTCTTTTTTTTTTAATTTTGATTGTACAATCTCTATCGAAAAGTGTTAAAGGGAAATTGGTGAAGAATTGGATTGATTGGTTAAGATTTGGTCAAAAGTTATTGTGGGAACAAAAAAATGTCTACAGAAGGATTTTTAAAACCTATATTTTTTTGGCATCAGAAGGTCTCAAAACATGAAGATTTACTGGAATTAGAAAAATGTCAAAATCGACCAATTTAAATACTTTTTCATTTATAATGAGAATGTAAAAAATTGTCATATTTAAACAAAAATGAAAGTTAATCATTTTTTTTTTAGAAATATTCTTAAAAAAATATTCCTTTATTCATTTAGTCTGTGATTAATGATTAAAAGAAAACTTACTGGACATGTGGTTTTTCCATTTGTTGGCAAAATACAAATTTGTGTATCGTAAAACAAAACCGGCGAATATTCCTGACAATCCTCAAGATTAGCAATGTGGGTATAAATTTTTTGTAAATAATTTTGTTGAAATTGGTAATTTTCAGTAGTTTGACCCCAACCAGCAATAACTACCGAACTACCTGAACCATAATCGCGACTCGGCAATTTAATTAACTTCCACGATGGATCATTGTTCATCAGCGGTGAATTTAACTGTAAATGTATTTTAGAAAATGATAAAATTTACTTTAGAATATGTGAAAGAGGAAGTGGAAATATGAGAAAAAATTAAAATATTTGAAAGTGGAAATATGAGTAAAAATAAGAATATGTGAAAGTGAAAATGGAATTACATAATCGACTATTTATAAACTACTATTTATAAACTTTACTTCACTTCACAAAGTAATGTAAATGTGATGTGAAATGAAAATTGTGTAAAAGTGAAAGAGAAATAAGAGAATAACACTCTAGGGGGTCGATTATGTAATTCCATTTCCACATCCACTTCCACTTTTTTTTCATTTCCACTCCCATTTCCACTTCTACTTTTTCTAATTTTCATTCCCACTTCCATTTCCACTTTTTCTCATTTCCCCTTCCACTTCTATTTCCATATCTACTTTTTAAAATTTCCATTCCCACTTTCATTTTCACTTCCACTTTTTCTAACTTTCATTCCCACTTCCATTTCAACTTTTACTTTTTCTAATTTCCACCCCCACTTTCATTTCCACTTCTACTTTTTCTAATTTCCACTCCCTTTTTCATTTTTACTTTTCTAATTTTCATTCCCACTTTCACTTCCACTTTTTCTCATTTCCCCTGCACTTGCATTACCACTTTTTTAAATTTTCATTCCTCACTTCCATTTTCACTTCTACTTTTTCTAACTTTCATTCCCACTTCTATTTCCACTTCCACTTTTTCTCATTTCCTCTCCCATTTCCATATTTACTTTTTCTAACTTCAATTCCCACTTTCACTTCCACTTCCACTTTTTCTAATGTCCACTCGCACTTCCATTTCCACTGCCACTCATTTTAATTTTTATTGAAACATTAATTTCCACTTCCACTTCTATTTCCACTTTTTCAAATTTTCATTCCCACTTCCACTTTTTCTTATTTCTCATCTCACTTCAAATTGTTAGTGGAAATGAAAGCGGGAATAAAAAATAGAAAAAGTACAAATGGAAGTAGAACTGGAAATGAGAAAAAGTGGAAATGGGAGTCGAAGTGAAAAGGAAAGACAGAAAAAGTGCAAATGGACGTAGAAGTGGAAATAAGAAAAAGTGGAAATGAAAGTGGGAAAGAAAATTAGAAAAAGTGGAAATGGGTGTGGAAGTGAAAATGGAAGTGTGAATAATAGTTAGTAATAGTGGAAATGGAAGTGGGAGTGGAAATGAGAAAAAGTGGAATTGAAATAGAATTACATAATCAACCTCAGGTTTTTTGTGTGACTAAAAGAAGTAAAAAAAATTTTGTTTAATTTAGAAAAAAAATGTCAAACATTTATCTCTTTAGAATATTTCAAACTTACAATAATATTATGACACCTACCGTGAGAATGGCAATGTCATACAGTAGAGCAAGATCCCACGGTAATCCTTTGTATTTCTCGTGAATTACTCCTTTTTTAATGGTATGAGAAACTCCACCGTAAGTCAAACTATTCGTTCCTGTTACAACAACAATATCGTTCAAATCCCTTGATTCAAGGCAGTGAGCAGCAGTTAAAATATGTTGTTTCGTGATAATAGCTCCACTACATAGAAATTGATTTTGAGGTAAACGCAAAGAGATTTGATAGGGAAATTCATTTTTTGATGCTCTCCAGCCATTTGAGATTTTTTGAGGTGGATCACCAAAAGCTCCTAAGGAAAATCACAAAAAAAATAGTTTAGATAAAATGTTAAAAGAGAATAAATTTAAGCCAACGATTAAGATTCCATGCATATGGAGGAAACCTTTAAATGAAGAAAATTCTTATTTTTATAACGCACATAAACGAAATAAATAAAAAATTAAACTGTGTTATACCGTAACACTCTTGAAAGATTATCTGCATACAATTGGCTGCAATATTGTAATTAATTAAAAATTGCATACACTCGGATCTTAAATTTAATAACAAATTCATAATTTCAAAATTTACATTTAATAAATAACTAATAAATTTAAAAAACTGATAATTTTAATACTTCGATTCAAAATAGTTAATTTGCAAAAATATTTAGCAAAATAGTATATTGTGCACCAAGTACCGAAAGAAGCTGTTTTCTGAAAAGCGCAAAATTTATTGCTCCGAGCGAAGCGAGGGCAGCAATTTGCACAAAGTGCAATCTAGACCGTTTTTCAACTCTCAGGCACTCCATGCATTTATCATCGATTTTGTTCTACCTTTCATTTGTTCAAACAAGTTTTAGTTCATTTTAGCCAAGTTCTGTGTTGTGAATACATATGATTTGTTCTGCTTTTGAAAGCAACTATATAACCTTTTTTATTAAACCGTTTGTTCTACCACGTGCTCTCTGAAGTGTTCTTCGAAGTCTGTTCTAATCCTGATCAGTTCTGAATTTTGTTCTATAAGCGTGTGTGACTTCTACCCTCGCTCATCGTAACCTTTTTATGAAATATCCAAATTTTTTGTGTCATCCTGAGAATCTATTTTATTATTTTATTCTGTTCCGTGTGATTTTTCATAAATTTTACTGGTTTAATAAGAGTTTGAGATGACTCACTGTTATTGTGCTGTGACCTCTGCTGTTTATAATGCTTTGTAGAACTATGTAAACATCTTTTGTATATCTGCGGTGTCACCTTACAGTGTTGTGGTCTTCGACAGTTTAATATCTTAATTGTATACCCCTTGTTCAAGGTTTAAGTATATTTAAAGTGTTTGAAACCCGGTGTTGACATTTTCCCGCGTTACAAGTACAATTAATGTTCCTCACTCAATATGAGTTTGTTTCTCATTGTTTTGCCCAGAGGGAGCTTGACTACAGTAGTCTTACTTTAACCTTCCATTGTGTTATTTTTCTGATTGAAAGTTAGAAATTGTTATTGAGATCAATTATATATATCAATGTATGGCCTATACGCTTTGAATTCAATTCTCACATGTATTCTTCTCATAAGAGTTTATTATGATTCATGAATAGATTCAACGTATGTCAAAGTCATTTTTCTTGTACTCGACTTGTCCGTTTCCAAGCGAACAATATATTTGATTCACTCTCAAATTTCCTATAAGCTGGATACTTTACTGTTGTCTAACTTGTATTACCAACAGTGTAGCATATAGTGTATTCTAGAAATTTTTTGTCTTCTAAGTTTATTGTTCTGACAGTTGGCTGTGCCTCAAGTCATTTAAGAAGAAGAAGACAAAAGTATAGGTTATGGTGGTTTGCGGTTGTCAGCGTACTTTTATGGATGTTGCAATTTTTGTGAAATTCTTCTTTTTTTGTAAAATACTTTTGTGAATTAAATACTTTCGTGAATTACAATTGTGAAAAATAAATTTAAAAAAAAAATATTTTGTCTTTCTTTTAACAGTAGGGGTAAGTATCATTAATTATTTCGTCGCATAACCTAAACATTTATTACTTATTGTTATTTACACTATTTAATTCAATTTTTTATTTAACATCAAGTTTAACTACAGAATGGATGAAGATCAATTGAAAAAACGTGTAACACAATTGGTATCGAACGTCAGAAAAAAAAATTTCTTGCTTTTCGAAAAGTTAGAAAAAATAATAAATTTTCAAGTAGTTCGGACGACTCCTTATTTGATAATGACAATCGTGAAAATAATGCACAATTAGAAGGTATGTATCTATAAATTAAATTAAAATTAGTAGAAGTCCTAAATAAATATTTTTATGGGTATTCAGCAAAGAATATTAATTATTATTAAATTATTATATTATGTAATTATTATGAAATAATTCTTTCTAATGAGTATCATTTTTTCTCCACTGTTTTATATTAAGAAATATATGTGCAATAAAAATTAATTTTTAAATTTTCCATGGAAAATGATTATTATTGTAGTAAATTATTTTTAAATACAAACTACATTCTTAAACAGAAAACCCTTTTTTATTTTTAAATTGATCAACTTGATCCAGAAAATTTTATTTATTCAATACTGCTAAAAATTTTATTTGGTAATAACTTGGGAAAAAATTTTGGTTTAATAATTTCATGAACTTATTTTGATCGCACTAAAAATAAAAAAAAGGAGATTTGTTTTAAAGTTGAAATTTAAATTTTTTTACTTTATTTGATTCACTTGAAATATTTTGATCCAACTTGTTTTAATTATAAACTTAATGGATACTGAGTATATCTATATACATTTTCTAAAAAATTAATTCTTTTTATAATAAGTAATATATTTTTATTCTATAGAAAATCGAGTAGGCGATCATTCCCAAGAAAGTAATGAACAAAGTCAACCTGAGCCTACTCTACCTTCAATACCAACAGATGATAGTATTGAAGCAAATTCTTCAAACCACTTTTTTGAAGAAGAAAAGGATTCCTTATCTACTGAAGCACATCCATCAAATGATGACGAAGTTGAAACCATTAATACATCAGACGATAGTTTATCGTCTGACGAAATTAATGAAAATCAAGAAATGTCAACGAGTTTTGACTCAGAATGGAGCGAAGAAAGCGTAAGATCAAATATTTTACAAGTGCGAGAAATAGAGGAGTTGCGGTGCTGGGCAGTTGACGGCAATATTAACTTGGAGCAAGTTGATAAATTGTTACAAATATTAAGGCGAAGAGTATTGCCCGATCTTCCAAAGTTTTTTTTTTTTTTTTCTATAATCAAAGGTCTTGTACGATGCATCGATCCAAAAACTTATCCACTAGAAGTTATTGAAATAATTGTAAACGCCGATGGAATTCCATTAACTAAATCTGGAGTCAAAGAAATGCGGTCCTTAGCTGCAAAAGTACATTTTGATCCAGATGTATACTCAGCATTTCGTGTCGCCATATTTTATGGAAATGGAAAGGCGGAGAGTGTAGATGGCTTTTTAAATAATTTTATCGATGAACTCAAATTTTTACAAGAAAATGGAATTCAAATTGCTAATCGACTCTTCAAAGTTCGTTTGAAATGTTTTGTGTGTGACAGTCCGGCAAGAGCATTTTCAAAATGTACCGTAGGCCATAACGCTCGAAATGCCTGCGAAAGGTGTACCGTCACAGGAAAAAAAGTCAATTTTACTACGGTTTACTCTTCTATAAATTCTCAAGAAAGAACCGATATGTCCTTTAGAACCATGCGTCAAAGAGATCATCACCATGGCCCATCACCATTGTTTCATGTAGAACCCCGTTTAAATTTAGTGTTTTGTTTTGTCCTCGACTTTATGCACCTTTGCCTCTTAGGGGTTATGAAACGTCTTATTGATTATTTGATGAGTGGAAACCTAAATTTTTATTAGGAAAGTTAAGAAAAAATTTACTGAACAATCGCTTAGAAAATTTGAAACAATTTATTCCTGTAGAATTTCAAAGAAAAAGCAGATCGATAAAATTTTATGTGAGATGGAAAGCGAGAGAATTTAGGTTTTTTCTCCTGTACTCTGGACCAGTCATTCTTAAAAAAATTTTACCGGCTAATTTTTATAACCACTTCCTTCTTTTTTATGTTGCCTGTAGGATCTTCCCACGTGAAAATGTTCCCGAGAAAATTCCCTGGAATTTCCCGGGAGTTGATTCCCGGGAATTTCTTAGAAAAAAGTCCCACAAATTTTTTAACAATTTCGGGAAACATTGCAGGTGTCGCGGAAGCAATATTATCTTGATTAGGGCGTAAACATTTTTGATGAAAAAGGGGGGAACAATTTTTTTACTTAATTTAAGAAATACATAAATGTACAATAAATATTTGATTTTTTTAAAGTGCGTTGTGTTTGTTTGTTAGAAGCGATAATTTTAATTTACATTTTTATGAATTATTATTTGATAACAATTGTCATTTTATTCTTCAATAAAAATGATCAAAATCGAAATAGTTATAAAATTGTAATGAAATAATAATTTAAAACATAAATTAAATATACATCTGAATAAACTACAATACGTAAAGAATAAAAAGTACAACTTCAACCGAGCGAGCGTTAGTAATTATATATATATATTTTTTTTTCCAACGTTAATCCAATGTTTTATATTTTCACAAAAGCAAATAGAAAATGTGCTTTATGATTTGACACAAGTACGATTACAATCGACTTTTCAATTAATAATTAATTAAATTATAAATATCTCTTCCCAACTTTGTTTTAATTAATTAACTGAGATTGTGGATTGGGTTAGAGAATATTATAAGTTTATAATATAGGAAAAAATGGAAGTATAAATATAAAATAATTACATCATTTATGACATAACAGCAGCAAAAGTATATGATTCACTAGGATTACTTTGACCTGTTTTGGTAACAGAAAACTTATTAATTAAAATTCTTTAGGAAAAAAACTAACTTGGGATGAGAGAATCACTCCTACCTTTGTGAAATTTGAATTAAATACAAAAATCAATTAGTCCTCTTAAAACATATACAATTGAATCCGTTTATGAAGATTCAAAATATCACAATAATTTTACTGAGTAAAATGGATGAAGAGGGATCAACAAGTTCTGAACTTTTTTTAAACTTTAGGATCTTAATTTATTTCACTTAAAAATTTAATTTGTTTTCAAATAAAAGTATTATAAAACATAACAGATTTTAAATTAAACAAGTATTTCATCAAATACATTTTTATTTTACTTACCCAAAGTTAATAAACTGCAAGCTAAGTAAAAGAGAAACTTGTGCATTGTTTTATTAATCAAAAATAATTCTAAAATGACTCATATTAAGTTCAGAACATGTATATATATATATATATATATATATATATATGTTGTATTAGTAATGCAGTGTTAACTTTCAGAATAATATGAAATGCGAAAATTTATCAATGCTTTCGAAAAGTAAATAAAATGACTGTTTATAATTGTAAATGATTTACGTCAACAAAAATGGAATGCAAAAAAATATGTATTTTGTTTAATTGATTATTTGTTTAATTTATATTAAAATTAATTTACAAATTCATAAAATCATTTTCCTTGACATTCGAACGTACAAAATAAATTGACATATTTTTTAAAAATTTCCTTTACGGAAAAATATAGATATGCTCCCAAGTTAAAACTTTCTTAAAGCAATTGATTCTAAGAAATTCATAATTTATTATTAATGTGAAAAGCTTTCATTGAGAAAGCAATAAAGTGGAAAATTATTTAGTTCATTAATAATTTATCTTCAAATTTTTATACAAATGAGATCATTGAACTTCCAATTTATTAGAGGAAATGATATAATTTATTTTAAAGTAAATATTATATTATATAAATATTGATGTATTCCACACTAAATCAGAATCCCATCTGCAATTGCATCTCCGATTTTTTTAAAAACATTTTTTTTTTGCTTTTGGTAGGGTAACTGCACCAGTGGTGGATCATGCACCAGTGGTGGATCAACTGCGAGAAAAATGGTCATTTGTGTTTACACGTTTGTAAGTAAATGAACCGCAAGTGTCGGTAATTGTTAAGAAAGTTATACAGATCAATATTACAATTTAAAAAAATTTTTAAATTCATCGCGAAGAAAGCAGGACAACAATTACTAAAGTGGTGACAGAAAACAAGAGTTTTCCTTAACATGTAAGTTAAGAGTATATTTTGGAATAGAAAGCTTTGGAGCCATTTTAGGACAATTTTTAATTCTTTTCACAATAGGAGGCATTTCGTTTCATCCCCATAGAGCCCTGAGAACAATATTTACGTCTGTAAGTAGCGCGTGTCCATTGTTTTGGGGTGATCCACGACTGGAACCAAAAAAGTAACAAAACCTAGTGGTGGATCAGTCCTACTTTTCGCCTGTTGACGCATTGTTTTATTGAAAATTTTATGAGTTAAATTTTAGTTAACACTAATTCAAATGTTTATTAATTGTTAACACCTGGGGGTCGATTACGTAACTTTCCCACTTCCCACATCTCACTTCCCACATTTTACATCCCACATCTCACTTCCCACATTTTACATCCCAAATCCCACATCTCACTTCCTACATTTTACATTCTACATCCCACATCCCATATTTCACATCTCACTTCCCATATTTCATATCCCACTTCCCATATTTCATATCCACTTCCCACTTCCCATATTTCACATACCACATCCCATTTCCCATATTTCACATTCCACATCTCACTTCCCACATTTCACATCCCACTTCTCACATTTCACTTTTCACACTTCACATCTCACATTGTACATTACACTTTTCTTATCACGCTTCCCACCTTTTATATTCCACTTCTCACATCTCTCCCATTTCCCACAAGATGTTGGATGTGGGAAGTGGTATGTAAAATGTGGGAAGTGAGATGTGGGAAATGGGATGTGGGAATTGAGAAGTGGGATGTAAAATGTAGGAAGTGAGATGTGGGAAGTGGGATGTAAAATGTGGGAAGTGAGATGTGGGAAATGGGATGTGGGATGTAAAATGTAGGAAGTGAGATGTGGGATGTAAAATGTGGGAAGTGAGATGTGGGATGTAAAATGTGGGAAGTGAGAAGTGGGATGTAAAATGTGGGAAGTGAGATGTGGGAAATGGGATGTGGGATGTAAAATGTAGGAAGTGAGATGTGGGATGTAAAATGTGGGAAGTGAGATGTGGGAAATGGGATGTGGGATGTAAAATGTAGGAAGTGAGATGTGGGATGTAAAATGTGGGAAGTGAGATGTGGGAAGTGAGATGTGGGATGTAAAATGTGGGAAGTGAGAAGTGGGATGTAAAATGTGGGAAGTGAGATGTGGGATGTGGGAAGTGGGAAAGTTACGTAATCGACCCCCTGATTTCAAATTGTTAAATTTTTGTTGAATTAAAATACCCAGAATTAATAAATGTTATTTATCATTGAAACTGAAGCTTTAAGAGTTTCTATTTATTTATTACCAAAAATTCTAATAAAAAGATGATTAATTAATATTTAGTCACATTATACCTATAGAAATGAAAGAGGAGGGGATATGGATAGGAAAGTGAATTTGAAAATCTGTCCGTAAAGCCTTATAAAAGTTGCAAAACGTCTCAGTCTCGTAATTTTCAAATGTAATGTTTTTTAGTATGATTTTTTAAGTGATCCACCACTGGAGCAATCTATAACCATGACTGGTGCAAACAGTGATCCAGAATAGGATCATTGACAAATTATCTTTAATGGATCATTAAAGTAAACGTAGGTGTCAAAATTAAGTCTAACCTTGAAGGAAATGTCTATTGGAACTATCTGGTCCATAATACTATAAAGAATAACCTCGAATTTATCTAAAAACAACCTATACAGAACTTCAAAGTCAAAATAAGAAAGTTAAGGGGCTTAACTGATCCACCACTGGTGCAGTTACCCTATTAATTTTCTGTTTATTGTACGAAGTTGAAATTCAACTCGAAAAGTAGCATATTTGGGCGTTAAAGAGTTAAAAGAGAAAAAAATAATATCAACTTTATGTTGAAAACTGAATAAAAAATAAGGTTATAAAAAAAGAACACGATATAAAGAAAAAATCTATTTTTTATTCATCAAAACATGTAAAATTATGTAATATGTTTAAAAGTTTTGTTTGCAATTTAATTTATTTTTTCTATGCCATTTCATTTGTTATTGTAAAATCTCATCTCATGTTCCTGATCAAATATGTTACCGCGTCTGAGAAAAAAGTGTTCATGCCAAAAAAATTGATGTTTGAATTGCGATAGTTTCTTACACTTTATTATTCTATTATTATATTAGAATAATAATAATGTAAATGAAATACTTAAGTTTCCTTTTTATTAAAGTAATACTTAGTTTTAGTTTCATCCAAACTCATACGAGTAAGTTTATTTGCAATGTCAACTATTCTGCATTCCGTTGGCTTGTCAAAATTGTAACAAAATAATTACTATTTACATTTTCTAAAATGTGATTAATAGTCATTATACTCGCTTGATTATTAATTTTAATTTCATATAATAATAGCTTTTGCGATGATGTTCTTGCTCTATTTTTGATATTTGTTAATTCCATTTCACGATTTGAAGAAAATTTGCGAATCAAGTTAAAGTTAATATGATCATTTATTTTAAGTGATGTTTCAATTATAATAGAGTGCATAATAATCCTCAAAACGAAGATATTGTTGATAATTAATTAATTTTATATATTTATCAAATACCACTGATGCCGGTCACTAGGGTGTCGAGTGACGAGCTGAAAAGAGGGACGAGAGAGATGATTTGAAAGAGAACTAAATTACTTCTCGTTGGAAAACGTGTTGGACCTGAGAAGGGCCCACGTAAAATTGGTTCGGGAGGACCGAACGAATGGGAAAGGTGAACTTAGTAGGGTTCGAAACGTAGGCGTCTGCACGAAGGTAGTGAGGACCTTCGAAGCAAAGACCAGGTACAAGGCAAAAACGATTCCGGTGACACGCCAACAGGGATAAACAGTACGTCGGAGGAAAATGCGTTCGATGCGTAGAGAGATGATGAGCGCGGAGGTGTCGTATGAGGCAGGTCTAGTTTGCTCGGGCTAGGTCCGAACAATTCTTCAAATTCTTGACTCTGACGGCCGACAGGTGAAGTAGAGACGGGCGAAATAGGTTTGCACACCTGAGGAGGTGGTGCACGCACGGCGGGTGAGCGAGCCTTAAAATTTTGTTTTCAAATGATTGTATCTTCTGTATGTATGTCACAGCAGCACTACTCCATATTGGTACGGCGTATAACAATACTGGTTTTATAAAAGTTTTATATAACAACAATTTATTCTTAATGCTAAGTTTACTACTCCTATTGAGTAAGCAATGTAAAGAACGACTCATAATATATCCTTTTTTATGAGTTTCAGAGATATGTGTTTTAAAAATAAGTTTATAATCTAACATCACACCTAGATATTTGACACAATTTTTAGTTTTAACGTCAACATCATTCACAGTTATTTTGATATTATTTTCATTGCGTTCTTCACCTTTTTTGGTAAATATAATAAATTCTGTTTTCGCTGCATTAATTTTAAGTTTCCATCTATGGTAGTACCTCAAGAGTTCATCCAGATGCCTTTGGATATATTCGACTGCCTTGTACTTCTTCCAAAAAGAAGCAAAGACAGCCGTGTCATCCGCAAAAATGGCTAATTTTGAATTTGGATTTTTTGGTATATCATTAAGATAGTATATAAAGAGAATAGGGCCAAGAATAGAACCTTGAGGCACCCCCGCTACAATATTCTTTGTTTCAGACTTTTGTTCATTACAAATAACATTAAATTTTCTATCACTTAAATAGTTAATTAATATCTTAATTATATACATTGGAAAGTCAAAGTTAAATAATTTATAAATTAAACCCCCGTGCCAGACAGTATCGAAAGCTTTTTCTATATCAAGAAAAACAGCTGCTGTATGTTTATTTAAATTAAAATTTGTTGTTATTTCATTTGTTAATCTTGATAATTGCATTACAGTACTATGTTTTTCTCTGAATCCAAATTGTTCAGAGATTAGTAAATTATTAACAGATTCATGTTTCTTTATTCTATTTAAGATTATTTTTTCAAACAATTTACTCAAAGTTGAAAGGAGACTAATGGGTCTATAATTTTGTGGAAAAAGTTTGTCCTTGCCACTTTTATGAATTGCTAAGACATTTGCTATTTTCCAAGAGTTTGGAAAGTATGAAAGTTTAAAGCAAGCGTTAAAAATATAATTAATTTGGACAATAACTTTATTAGGTAAATTTTTAAGTATAACATTCTG